TCAGTTCTAGGCTCCAGGAATTCCAAGGAGCTGGAATAAATGGCCAGGTACATGGGCAGGAGACAGACCATCTGATAAAGAACTCCAGCTATGGAGCAGATGACAGATCTGTTAAGGGCTGTGACTGCACTACTAGGGACAGCCAGAGAAGGGGGTCCTCAGGACCATCAGGAAGACTGCATGAGTGTAGCCCACCCATCTGACCAAATCCACACCTGGTAGGGAGATGGGGGCTGCTCAGTCACTGGCCAACTCCTCCAAAGGCCTTGGATTAACTCCTGGACCTGAAGGCTAGGTTGGGCATAATAACAGGGGAATAAGGTCTCCAGATATCCCAATCCACTGAGGGTAAGAAGCATAGTAGCCACACACAATCACAGTGCCAAGGGACCCAATAGGCGGGGGACACAGTTCTCTGACCGAGAGATGGAAGGCTTCATGAAAGAGGTGAATTTGAATCAGATCTTGAGGAAAGAGTAGAAATTGTTCAAGTAGGGAGGGGGTTGGGGTGGAAGCAGGACTCTTCTGGTCTCTCTTCCCCTCAGACTGCAGGCTGCTCCCTCTCCTTGCCCACCAGCCTTGAGGGAGGTAAAAGGCCCCTGCCCAGCCCAGCAGTCCTCTTCAAGGGGCAGTGTCAGATCTGTCTTAGAATGAACCGGCTACAGTGTGAGGAACACAAGCAAGCAGTGAATGGACTCAGGGCACAGACACTGTTTATTGAGTGGCAGGCGCAGGAGAGGTAGCTGGCTCCTGTGTAGAAGCGGAGGTGGCAGGTCATGCCAGGGTGCTGTGGGCATCTGGCAGCCAGGGCCATGCCCCTCATCCTAGGGGACAGCACAAGCTCACTATGTCAGGAGTAGCAAGGAGCTGGCCTGGGGAAGAGGCAGCTACAGCCCCCGGGATCCTGGGCAAGAAGCGGCAGGTGAACTTGGCACAGGGGCCTAGGGTGGGAGGGACTGGGGCCTGGATGTTGTGGGGGGAAATGGAGAAGGATCACGTCTGTGGGGTGGAGTAGAGACTGTGGTGGTGGCTGCCTGGTCCTAGAACCTGGGAGAAGAGCAGAGGAGTGGTCCGCGTCTGGCTGCCTCCGCACCAGCCTGGCTCACGCCCGATAGTGCCGTACCAGCTACCAGAGCTCAGGCTGCCAGACATGCTGCAGGCAGAAAATAGGGTCAGTCCTGCAGCAGTGACCAGGACCACAGTCGCAAGAGATGGCGGAGGGAGAGAAACTCAGAACAGAGCCCAGTGACCCAGACCTCTCTGTCTATGGCAAACTGCATTTGGGGGGTAGGATGGGGGCCTGAGCAACAGGAAACCAGAGGGGACCTCACCTTGTAAAGACAGGAAGCAAAGGCCATCGGAGGTGGGTAGTGGGTGGCAAGACCCAGTTCTAGGTCCCCACGGCTCAATGGGGCAATCTGGGAGCCCAGGGGACCTGAGGTGGGGCCGGGACTCCTACCTGGTGCTCTCGCCCCGGCTGTGCTCCCAAGAGCAGCCCTCGTCCTCGCAGTGGGCCCGGTCAAAGAAGTAGGAACGGGAGCCAAAGACCTGCCCGTTGAGGATGTGGCTGGTGCTCTGGGGGAGAGAGCCATCGTTGATGCTTTCTCCTGCCCCCAACTGGCCTCCCACCACCCCCAGAGCCCAGTCCAGGGATTCCCAGTGCCACCCTTCTCCACTGGCCCTCACCAGGTCCTGTGGGGGCCGGTGCACCCGAAAGAAGCCCACCAGCAGGGTGGTGGGCAGTAGTTCCCACACAAAAAGGATGAGGCCAAACACCAGGTAGCCTTTGTTCCCCAAGTCATTCACCAGGTCCGCCTGTGGGGAGGCAGGGGCTGTGCCAATCTGCAGTTGTGCCAGTGGGGCACCCAGACAGGGCCCAGGCCAGCTTGGGGCCAAGAGCCACAGCAGACGAGCTGAATGCCCACCTGGTCAGAGACGTTGTACCAGTCGTAATCGAAGGCATCCAGCCGGCTCTGGGGGGCCAAGGCAAGGGCTGCCAGGTTGTAGCAGGCCCGGCTGGCATAGAGCAGGACCATGGTGCCACCCATTGCAGCTGCCTGGCACACACTGGTCCCCTGGCACAGATGACAACAGAGGACCCTCAGGGACGGGAGGCTCCAACTTCCTCTCTACCCTGAAGACCCCAAACACCCCAAAAGACACTCAAGCATCAGCACTTGTGGCCCTACCTTGGCCTCCAGGTAGATGCTGGTGGAGGGGGCCCGCCGGGCGACAAGGCAGAGGCAGGCAGCAAGAGAGAGCGCGCAGATAACAAACAGGGAGTCGCTCACCAGGACGCGCACCAGCAGGAGGGCCCAGGGCTGTGCCCGGCGCCGGCGGGACAGCACTGCACACAGCACATTCACCAGAAGAAAGAGCAGCGAGGCCCCCACGAAGGCCCCTCGGACAGCCAGCCTGCAGCCCACAGCACAGTCAGCCCCAGCTGACCACCTCTGGCACTCACCAACCACCAACCACATCCCCCATGAGACCCCGGTGTCAATCAGAACCTCAGATCATCCAGTCTGAACCTGTTCCCAGGTTTGCAGATGAGGAAACTGGGGCCCAAAGAAGTCAGAAGGTGATTGACAGCTGCAGTACAGTGGAAACAGCACTAGATTGGGAGTCAGAAATCTGGGTTTAAGCCCTGACTCTGCCTCCTGCCAGGGGTGTGACCTTGAACATGTTGCTTGACCTTGCTGGGCCTCAGTGTCTTCATCTCTCAAATGGGAGTAACATCAGCTTCACAAGTAAGATGTAAAAATTAATGATGTTTGTGAAAGCTCTTAATAAAACTGTGAGATGTTATACATATGACAGGAGTATCATTGCCCAAGGTCACCTAGAAGTGTCATTGGGTTTGGAGTTTCCAAAGGCTGGAGCCTACAGCTCTTATTCCATCATGGATGATGCTGGTACCCATGTCCCCCACCATATCATGATTGTTTCTATTATAGTTGCCCTTCACATGTGCAGCGCATCTGCTAAGCCATCGACACCAAGTGCTTAACTTTTCCAAGCCTTTCACAAACATTCCCTGGGTTGTCCTCACCTCAACCTGCCATGGGGGAAGGAATGGCCACTGGGCTTCTCCCTGCCCATGAGCTGGGGGCTGAGCCCACCAGTGTACCGAGTACTTACAAGCCTCGGCTCATCTCTGGCCGACGCTTTGCCTTGGCCTTGAACACCACCTGGGAGCAGAGATGCCTATCATTCTTTTGGGCCCTTGGGGCTGGCCACCCCACTGCCCACCCCCACCCGTCCCCATGGTTACCTGAGCAAAGTAGAGGTTCATAAGCGTCAGTGTGAAGAACTGCAGGCAGACAGGGCAGCAGTAGAGAAGCCAAAAGGGCAGGGGTCCCAGGCGGTTGGCTCGGGGTGTATCTCGAAAATAGAAGGAGAAGAGGGTGGTACGCAAGGCAGCCCAGAGCAGACACAGTGCCAGGAACACCGTCTGATAGCTGAGACGCTTGTGCCCATACAGGAGCACCAGCCAGAGCTGGGCATAGACGGAGAAGAAGAGCAGGGCGTACAGGGTCGTGTAGGCCGCAGTCAGCCCCAGGGTCACGGCAGGCGGCAGCGCAGGCACCAGCCCAGCAGCAGGCACCAGGCCAGACAGGTTACTCTCCATGTCAGAGAGGGAGGCCTGAATCCGGGAGACAGAGGTGGAGTGACTGGTAGGGGGCAAGGGAAATAAATACAGAGGGGTGGGAGTTGTAGGGTGCAGAGGCAGAGATGGGGGCTTAGGGGTAAAGAAGCTGTGGCTGGCCAGGCCCTCCCCCAACAGAGGGATCCCTCGCCTTTGCTAGGTACAGGCAACCTGGGTCCCTCACTCAGGGGTATGGAAGGACAGCCTTTCCTGTCCCGGGCAGAGAGTGTCTCCTCCCTGGGCCAGCCTCAGAAGCCAGGGTTAGGGGTGGGGAGGTGCAGAGGCTGAAGAGGGGTCTCTGGCCTTGGTCGCTGGAGTCGTCCTGGCAGGAGGGGGAGAGCCGGCCAATGCCAGTCGGCTCAGGGCAGCAGCCGCTGCGTGGCGCGCTCAACGCCTGGCTCTCCCCCTCCCCAAACTAGGGGGGCTCTCTCCCCTCAACAATCCGGATGGTAGGGCCTCTGCCTTTCGTCCTCAGGATTCCGAACGCTGCCCCCACCCCACCCCCACTGCGTCCACTCTCCAGCCGCAGGGGAGGGGAGGAGGTCGACGCCGGGTCCTCAGGCCGCCGCTGGGGGAGCCGGCTCCGGTCGCTGGGACCCGGGACTCCGGCTCCCCGGCTCCCGCTGCTCCGCCCCCTCCTGCGCCTGCGCGGGCGCCGTTCGCTACGCAAGTTGCTCAGTCTAGCCCTTGCTCCGCAGCCCTGCGCCGCGCCCGGGGCGGAGCGGTTCGAGAATTGGCGCGAGCTGCGCAGCCGGCGGGCGCCAGGGGTTATGAGAGGCGGGAGGCGACCATGAGGCTCTGGCCGCGCTGTATCCGGCCCGCGCTGGAGTGGGCCGTGCCCGGGGCCAGCGGCCCTTGCTTGTTTGGGGGACCGCCAGTTCCCATGCTTCTCTTCTCCACCCCCAAATCGAGATCGTGCCGCCCGACCCGGGGCGGTAACGACTTCCCTTCACCCGATCTCTGAAGGAAACTTCCGCCCGCAGCCAAGATGGCCTCCGAGGCCCGCCCCCACCCCCCCCAACCCCATCCCCGGCCTTAACTCCCGGGGTCCCACAGCCCGCCAGCCGACGCCCTGGCCGGCGGCGGTTCCTGCTCACCTGGCCAGCCGCCTGCCAGGCCTGAGGCCCTACGAGTCCTATGGTCACCCTGACAGGGGCCTCTGTCCCTTCTGTGTAGGGGCAGTCATCCTGCCAGGGTGGAGGCTCCCTCGCTTATCTCGAGTGCTCCCGCGTTGGCGCGGGGAGTGGCGCCCCTGATGCGGGCGGTGCAAGGGTTCCACTGGAGGAGGAGGGCGGGGAACTTCCCGATCTGGTCACCCAGTCCAGACGGAGCAGTGACACCAGCAATAATTGCATCCAACGGCTGAGCTTCAATGACGGTTTTGCAAAGTGCTTTCACCCACAGTAATCACCACTCAGTTTACAAGGATCACTGGCTCCTGAGGGAGGTGTCATCATCCCTATTTTACAGGGGCAGGAATTAAGGCCCAGACAGGCTGAAGGACTTGTCAGCAGGAGCTGGTCCCCAAATGGGGACTCCAGAGAATCCCTCATCTGCTCACACACAAACGCCCGAGACAGAAGTAAGTTGGGAACCGAGCATCCGAAGACGAAGAAGGGACCCAGGAGGAAGACGGTGGGCTGGGCCCCAGGCCGGTAGTGGCCCCGCCTGCTGGCCTGCTAGTGACATTTCCAAAGCTGATTGGGCCGGAACGATGACAGTTCCCGTTGCCCAGGCAACTAGGGCCGGGCTCCCTCAGCGCTAGAGAGAGGCGGCGGGCCCGGGTCAGGGGCCTAGAGATCGGGCTTGGGGTGAGACCTGTCTGCCGTCACCATTGGCTTGTCTGGCGGAGGCCTGGGTAGGGGCCTGGGGCTGCTCCACAGCCCCAGGGCTCCGAGAGATTTAGATCCTGGATGGATAGACTGAGCTTCCTGCCAGGCCAGACTCAACGACAGATGGGGGCCTGGGAGGCAGGGTGGACCTGGGGCTCTGAGGTGGGATAGGGAGCAAGGGGCACCTGCGCCCCAACCCCTGCTGGCCACCGTTTGCCCCAGCTGTGCCCTAACTACCTGCCATCTTGCCTCCACAGCCCAGAGCATGTTCCAGATCCCAGAATTTGAGCAGAGTGAGCAGGAAGAATCCAGCCCTGCAGATAGGGGCCTGGGCCCCAACCCCATTGGGGACAGGGCCCCAGGTCCCGGCAAGCACTGCCGAACAGCCACAGGCCTCCTGGGGGAAGCTGGTCACCAACAGGGGCAATCGGCCAACAGCAACTACCATGGAGGTAGGCACCCCCCTTACAACAACCACCTGCCTGTCCACCTTACCTCCAGCTCAGTAGCTCCCTGCACCCCAGCTACCTCCACACTCCCTGAGTGGCTTTGATTAAGTCCCTAACCTCTCTGTATCTCTTCTGTAAAACCGAGCAATTAGTCACCACCATTGTAGTGCTGTTGGGATGATTGGTAGGAATATCTAAGAAGCACTTAATTATAGAGCTGGTGCTTTCTAAATGCTCAAAGTATGTAGCTGTTAGTGTAGGACCAGGATAGAATCACTGAGAAGCAGCTGGAAAGGGGAAGTGACTTGCCTAAGGTCACACTTGCTTGGCATTTCCACCAAGCAGAGACTCTGCCCCAGGCTAGTACTTTCCCTGGGATTGGGCCTTACAGCTTCCAGCTATGTTCCTTCGCACTTGTTGGCTCACACCCTCATAGGGCTGTCCTTGTCAGTTGCCAGGGCCCAGTGACCCCAGGAGACAGACGGCCCTACCAGGCAGCGGGTCTGTGTGGGGCTGGAGAGGCATCAGCTGTCCTCCACACCTACTGAGGGGGACCCAGCGCTGGGATGGAAGGAGGGGCACTGGAGGGCAGCGACCATTTCTCAGTAGTCTCCATCCACCCAGTGCCCAGCACAAGCCTTAGCACCTGGAACAGCCACAGAGAGCTTCCGAAAACAAACATCACATTCCTTGCCAGCTGAAGCTGAAATGACACCTTCCCCATTTTCAGGAGCAGGAAGGCTTAAGGTCTCTTTCCCAACCCACTCTGTTATACTGAACTCCACGGGCTTTCTTTAACTTCTTCCAGGTCTTTGCACTTGCTGTTTTTCTGCTTTTTCTTCCTTCCCATCCTCTGTCTCAAGTGCTTAATGTGTGTCACATGCTGTTCCAGCTACCAGGGAGTACATCAGGGACCAGAAGAGATAAATCCTTGCCCCTGTGGTGCCTACATTCTGGTAGGTGAGGGGAGACCAGCCATAAACAAACAAACAAGTAAATGATATAATGCATTAGAAGGTGATGGCAGTGTGTGACACACTCTTTACTTTCTTGTTGAAATCTAAAGTACCAAGGGGCGAGAGGAGTGACTTTAACTGAGGTGGCCTTGTCAGGGCAGGTCTTGCTAAGAAGTGACATTTGAGCAAAGGCTGGAAGTGATGAGTGTGAGCCAGGATGAGCCAGGCAGACATCTGAGGGAGGAGATGCAGGTGGAGGGAAGGGCATATGCAAAGGCCCTGAGGGCAGGACACAGTTCAGGCCAGGGAAGGGAGGGGAGTTGGAGACACTTCAAGAATTAAGGGAGGAGGAGAGGCTGCTGGGCAGGGCCTTGGAGGACTAGGCGAGGTCTCCGGCTTTCACTTTGAGTGCAGACATGGAGGGCTTTGATCTGATGTGGGCTTCCAGAGAATCACTAGGGCACCTGTGTTGAGGCGTGTCTGCAGTGGGCAAAAGGAGGGGCGGTACCACAGGGGAGGATGCTGGCCTGGGCCAGGGTGGTGGCAGCGAAAGTGGTAAGTAACTGGACTCTGGGCTTATTTGGAAGGTGGGATTTGCTGACGGACAGATGTGGGGTATGAGGCACAGAGAGGATCAAGGATGGCTGCAAGGGACCTGGCCTGGGCCTCTACAAGGATGGAGTGTCTCTTAACTGAGATGGAACTGACAGGGCATGGGGTGAGATCAGGAGCCCTGCTTGGGCCAGGTCAGGTCAGAGGTGCCTTCTAGGCATCCAGGTGGAGATTTCTAGTAGTGATAGAGCCAAGCGGAATTTGTACACGAGGGAGCTGGCAGTCACTGATGGAGTGTTCTGTGAGACCCCAGGGAGCCAATGTAGACAGGAGAGGGTCCAGCCTGCACAGGACAGCAGCAGAGGAGAAGCCAGCACTGGAGTCTGAGATGAGCCACCTGGTAAGGAGGGGAGTGCTGAACTGGGTGACAAGGGGAGGGGCAGGAGGAGGGCTGGGGGTAGGGTGCAGGACTGGACCACACAGGCAGTGCAGTTGGGGTGGAGAGCTGGGAGGGATAATGGGAAGAGCTGGAGGCAGAAAGGAGCATCTACTATTGGCAGCTAAGCTCCTGTCCCGAAGAGCACAGGAGCAAGCATCAGCTGAAGGCACCAGGAGAGTCAAGGAAGGCTTGTTTTATTATTTTTTAAGATAAAAAGGGAAAGAAAATAGCATGTTTATAAGCTGATGGGTAAACCAGGAGCGAAGAAAACATAGGAGGGTGTAGGAGAGAAGGGAGGCTTGCTGGAGAGGTGTCCTTGGGTAGGAGAGAGTAGCTGGTGTGCAGGGGAGGGGCGGTGTATCTAAGTGCAGTGGGGAGGGTTGGGGGAGATACCTCGTGGGAACTTGTAGAAGTTTCTCTTGTGGGTCCTCCCAGCTTCTCAGTGGAAGGAAGCCAAGTCCTGAGCCAGGAATGAGGGTGGGGAGAGGGGTGGGGGCTGATGGGGAGAGAGGCCCTGATCTGAAGGGGTCGTCCAGCCTAGAGTACTGAGTGTCAGATGTATGCCTGGCCACATGCAGGACTCCCGCCACTGGGTCCTTTGACCGTGAATCTGAACTGAGTTGGCTCAGCTGCACTTTCCTCCAACCACCCTGGCCGCTCACTGTGAGAACTGGCACAGAGTTGGTATTAACCAGAGCTGTTTGTCTCAGTCCAGTGGAGAGGCACTGGGGGGCTTGGCTCCGGTGGGGTGTAAGCTGGCCAAGTGTGAGGAATCCCAGCATCACTAGAGTTGGGGTCCCGAGGCAGGAAGCCGGGAAGGACCACTTCAGTGCTGTGAAGGAATGAAGATAGGCGTGACTAAGGGAGAGAGCTGCAGGGAGCTTGAGTGACCCCCTGCACACTAGGGGTGACCTGGGGGTGAGGGGTGCTTGTGGCCCAGAGGGGGAAGGATGGTAGAAGCTGAGAGAAACTAGATTTGGGGAGGAGGGGATGAGAATGTTCTGAAGCAGCAATGAAGAGGTAAACGCCTACTGCAGCTCCGGCCCCGCCACGAGGGTGGCTGCAGTGGGGGAAACAGTCACCATGTAAGAGGACTGCACTGGATTTCTTAAACGTTTTTTCTGTGCATGCCTTCTGTTTTTGGTTTTTTTTAATTGAAGTATAGTTGATTTGCAGTGATGTGTTAGTTTCAGGCATACAGCAAAGTGATTCAGTTATACATATATATATTTTTTCCATTATAGGCTATTACAAGATACTGAATATAGTTCCCTGTGCTATACAGCATGTCCTTGTTGTTTATCTATTTTATATACAGTAATTTGTATCTGCAAATTCCAAACTCCCAATTTATCTCTCCCCCTACCCTTTCCCTTTTGGTAACTGTAGGTTTGTTTTCAATGTCTGAGTCTGTTTCTGTTGTGTAAATAAGTTCAACTGCATCTTTTTTTTTTTTAGATTCCACGTATAAGTGATATCATGATATTTGTCTTTCTCTGCCTTGCTTCACTTAGTATGATCATCTCTAGGTCCATCTATGTTGCTGCAAATGGCATTATTTCATTCCTTTTTATGGCTGGGTAGTATTTCATTGTATATATATACCACAACTTCTTTATCCATTCATCTGTCAATGGTCATTTAGGTAGCTTCTATGTCTTGGCTAGTATAAATAGTGCTGCTGTGAACATTGGGTGCCTCAGTTTTCCTATCTGTAAAATGTGAATAGAACTAGTCACACCTCATAGGGTTGTCATGAGGAACTGATGCGTTAATATAGGAAAATTGATCAGAAACAGTGTCTGGAACAAAGGAGGATTTGCTGTTCTTACTATTACTGCAGCTGTTATTATTGTTACAATGAGTTGGCCCAGGCTCTGAGCAGACCTAGGGATTGCCATTTATTCAGCAGGGATAGAGGCATGCATAACCAATGCACCCCTGATGATGGACAAGTGAAGTGTAGGTTAGACACTGAATGTAAGGGCCTTGAAGGCCATGCCTAGGAGTTTGGGGTTTATCTCATGGGCAACGGGGAGCCATTGAAGGTTTTAGGCAGAGGACAGAAACAGTTGGGGTTTTTTGTTTGTTTGTTTTGTGTTTTTTGGAGGGGGGGAATTAGGTCTATTTATTTTCAGAGGAGGTAGTGGGGGTTGACCCAGGACCTCATGCATGCTAAGTGTGCACTCTATCACTTGAGCTATACCCTCCCCCCTCAGACATAGTTGGGTTTAGAGCAGGGGTTGGCAAACCACAGCCACAGGCTAAATCTCTCCTTTTTTGTACAGTCCATGAGCTAAGAATGATTTTGACATTTTTAACTAGTTGACAAAAATCCAAAGAAGAAAAGTATTTTCTTTCAGTGTCCCTAAATAAAATGTTAATGGAACACAGCCATGCACAGTCATTTATATATTGTTTATGGCTTCTTTCAACCTATGACACAAAGTTGGGTAGTTGTGACAGACTGTGTGGCCTGTCATGCCCAAAATATTTACTCTCTGGCCTTTTACAAAAAATATTTGCCAGCCGCTGCTTTAGAGTGTTTTCTGATTTCCTCAGCTCTGAGCAAGGTGGGGCTATGTTCTTAACAGGCCAGTAGGGGCAGGTGTACCCAAATGGCTTTGGGGTACACAAGGAGTCTGGGCCGAGGCCTGCAGTGCTGGAAGCCACCTGGCAACCGTGCCTGCTCAGGGTGGGGCGCCATGCCTTTCTGCCTGCTGGGGGCAGTGTGTGACTATGTGGTAGAGCAGGATCCAAACCCAGCCCTGCCTGAAGGCAAAGCTTCACTGCCTCGAATTGCCTGGAACACCACTGTTTTAATTAAGTCTTGGAGGATGCTCACTGAAGCTTGACCATGGATGTGTCCAGCCCCACCCACTTACCCAGAAGCCCAGTGGGTGAAGGACTTAAAGCTTTGTGAGGGCTTGGGGCACCTCCAGCCACAGGCCCCTCCCTCTTCCCCACCCCAGCCCTAGGCAGGCTCTCGGGGAAGAAGGCTTGAGTGGGCAGGCCTGGGTATCCACCCACGCTCACACCAAGCTAGGAGCCACGTCCCCTCCCTATCCCTTACTTGCTCCAGAGGCCACTTCTGCCCTGCCCAGGGGCATGTAGGCATGAGAGCTAATTGAAAGTTTAATAGTTGAAGTGGGGGGCATATCTGCTTCCTCCAGGGAGTTCACAAAAAATCCCTCAGGTTTTTTCTAGTAAATAGAAGGACACTTAAAAGTTCTGGAGGGAGCCTGGAGCATGAGAGTTAAACACACAGACCCAGGGGCCAGACTGGCTGGGTGGGAAATCCCAGCTCTGCCACCTACCTATGATCTTGGGCAGGTTACTTACCCTCTCTGTGCCTTGGTTTCCTCCTAACCTCCCCCATAGGGCACGCAGAGGACAAACACGAGCAGTACTTCCAACCTGAAACCGGGAGGGCTCTTCTATTTGTTCTCATTCCCAGGAGAGGGGCTGGTGCCCAGACCAAGTGCCCACCTGCAAGCCACTTGCCTTCTGACCCTTGGCCCTTGCATACATCAAGTGCGGAGTTTATGTGGGTTCTTAGAGCCAGTAAAAGAGAAGAGCTGGTGGTTTCTGAGCACTTAAGTGACCAGGCAGGGTGGGCCAGCTGTGTGACCCCTGGCAAGTTCCTAACCTCTCTGTGCTTCATTTCCTCATCTATAAAATAGGGAGAACTTGGTGTCCGCCTCACTGGGAAACTAGGTTTCAGGACATGAAAGAGGGAGAATGGGGTGCTTTCATTGTGTCATTTGTTCTTCTGGTGGTCCTGGGAGACCAGGGCTGCTCCCACTTCACAGAGGACACTGAGGCCCCAAGGGGTTGAAGGGCCCAAGGTCACAGAACAGGAACGTGGTTGAAGTGGGGCCCACCAGGCTAGTGACCCCTGCCCTGCTGCCCACACCCCCACGGAACCAGAAAGCACTCTGCAGACGGGTCTGTTCTCATCAGGGGTATTGCTGTTCTTGGCTCCTCCAGTCCCATTCCGAATCCCCACTGCTGATTTTGCTGCCCGTTCCCCACTGCCAGCTTGTTCCTCAAAGACCTTACCTACCTGACCCCAGGCCTGGGGTTTTGGGGGAGCCCACGTGCTCCGACCTTGCTCTTAGCCTAGGCCTTTCTGGATCCAGCCCTCTTGTCCCTTCTTGGCTTTCTCAGACACCTATCTGGAGCTGCGACCCTTGGAGGCCCTGCAGCCCTGGAGGTGACCCACAGGCTTTGGGGGGAAGGATGAGACATTGTTATCCCCTGGCTTAGACCTGATCTAGATCTTACTGCCTCCAAAGTGCTTCTCTGACAGATGTGCCTTGCTGTGCATGCTGAGCACATTCCCCTGCACTTGCTCCATGCCTGTCTTTCATTCTATACTTTGTTGGTCTGGGTATGGGGCTGGGCTTGGCAGGAGGGCAGGGGATGGCCTACAGTACACAGGTCAGACAAACTTTCGATATAGTAGAGGTGCCTCACTGAATAACGACCCATCACGCACTTCAGCTTACAGAGCACTTTCACGCTGTTTATTTTATGGGAGCCTTATGTGGTCACTGGTAATAAGGGCTAGGTTTATCCCCACAGAGAGGTGAGGACATAGGCTCAGGGAGTTGAACGGTAGTTGGACAAAGGAAAAAAGTGGAGCTCAATGGATAATCACTGGTTTCTGGATTCCAACCTCTGAGGGACTTCTAGCCTCAGAGCTTCACAGCTATGTGACCCTGGTCAAGTCTTATCCTCTCTAAGCCTCTGTCTTCTCATCTGCAGAATGGAAGCAATGTTAGTACTTACTTCCCAGGATGGTTAGGAGGATAATTAGGTTATGCCTAGGGCCTAACACTCAGTTAAGTGTGCCATAAATTTACCTTAAAAGTCAACAGAACTTTCTGGACATTTCTCCCAAGTGGGTGCTGTGGGAGGTACAGACTTGCTGCTGACATTTTTTTGTTCTCCAGGGGCCCAAGGTCTCCTGTAGGCCACAATAGAGGAACAGACAAGCCCCAGCAGGTTGCCTGCAGAGCTGAAGTTCAGCCCTACCTGGCTGGAGCAGGACACCTTTTCATCCAGGGGACTGGTTTCCTCTGCAGGAGAATGGAGCTGATGAAAGAGCTAAAAGCCCTGGGGTTGCTGGAAATCCCAGGGTCTTGTACTCATAACTATAACTACTATCTCTAATGCCCTTATTTTGCGCCAGGCACAGAGGAAAGTCATTTTATACACTAAGGGCCTGGCCCATTATTGGGGCTCAATTAAGATTTGTGGGATTAATGAGAAGTTATTTCGAATCTTCACAAAAGCCTCATGAGCTTCCCTTAGGAAGGAACTGGGGCTCTGAGAGGTAGAGTGATGTGCACGCAAAGATATCAACCGGCAGGTGGAGCTGATACTGAGGGCTTCTGGACGGCTGGGAGCGAAGAGGAGTTGAGATTCACATCATCCCCCACCACCCGACCCTCTCTGCAGGCGCTGGGGCTGTGGAAACCAGGAGTCGCCACAGCTCCCACCCAACGGGGACCGAGGACGAAGAAGGGACGGAGGAGGAGGAGCCCAGCCCCTTCCGGGGCCGCTCGCGCTCAGCGCCCCCCAACCTCTGGGCTGCACAGCGCTATGGCCGCGAGCTCCGGAGGATGAGCGACGAGTTTCACGGATCCTTCAAGGTGAGCGTACGGGTGGGCGCACGAATCCCCGTAGTCCTGGAGCATGCTGGGGACTATACTCGCAGGTCTCCTCCCACTGGACTGTTCCGTTAGGGTTCCGGTGCATGTCGGGATTTGCAGTCTCGTGACTCCTCCCCTCCCACCGGCCTGCAAGGCATTTCGGGATCTGTAGTCCAGACCCCGCTCCAGAAGGCCAAGCCTCCTGGGTTCCCTAAATATTTGGAGCGCTAGGCATGCTGGCATCTGTGCTCCCAGCCAATCCCGTTCGGATATCCGGGTCCTCTGGCTTCAATTTCGGAACCACCTCTTTAATTCTCGAATTCTGGTCCCGTCTTACAGGTGCTTCCGGATCTCTGGCTCTGGTCCTAATAGGGTCTTCCTAGGCCTCCTCTCCCCGTCCCCGCTATGGAGGGTCCAGAATCTAACCAGTTCCATTCCTAAGAGCCCAAGCGATCGTTCATGCCTAGTAAAGTAGTCAGGAGACCCCTCGGTACAGGATCTTTATCTCCCCCGGAATTTCACTTAGCGGTGGGATTCCAGAAGTAGAGGGGCCTGACTTGGGCTGCCAGGTAAACTAATTCACTTAACCCTTTCCTCCTCCCACTTCAAAGGGACTCCCTCGCCCGAAGAGCGCCGGCACCGCGACACAGATGCGGCAAAGTCCCAGCTGGACGCGCTTCATCCAGTCCTGGTGGGGCCGGAACTTGGGGAGAGGAGGCTCCGCCCCCTCCCAGTGAACTTCCGTCCCATAAGCCGAAGCTCCCCACCGCCGTTGGTGGCCATCTTGGGAGTGGGCGGAAGTCTTTTCTGCAGGCCTTATGCAAAAATAGGATCCATTTCGTCCCTTTCGGAAGGAAGCGGTCTGACCCAGAGCCCGATTCCCTTCCGGGGTGTGCGGACCACGGAGGGGCTCGGTCCCCATCGGAAGTTTTGAAATTTTTCCGCCCTTAGTTGCCGGAAGTGGCTCCGTGACCCCGCCCCGGCGCTGGTCGGCCCCAGGTGCCTGCGCCAGTTGCCAGCCGGGATTAACCCTAACTTCGCCAGAACCCTTTCCTCCACGGTAACGCTGAGGGCTAACAGCTCGCTACGAAATGTGCTAATAAAGCCCGCGTCTGTGCCAGCGAGTCTCCTCCGTCCGTCGTTTGGGTCTTCGCGGGCAGGGGGAGCGCTGGTACTGATAATGTCAAAAGATGTCCCCGTTTTACATGTAAGGGAAACGGGCTCTTTTTGAGTGACATTCTGGGACCGAGACCAGGAAGGGGTTGAGGCGGCTAGCAGAGCCACGCTGCTTAGCCTCCGGGAAGCGGAGCGTGACCAGGCCTCAGGGACCTCCAAGTCCTTAGCTCTAATATGGTAATTGGGAGCCGCAAGCTGGCTGGCCGCCGGAATGCCGCGTACTGCAAACCGTGCCGCCGTCCCCCAGGGAGGGTCATTTGTTCCTATTTGGGTCAGTCCTTTTGAGTAGCTACTGTGTGGCCGGCCTGAGGCCAGCGATCCTCAGGGAACTGGCAGGACACGCAGGGCGGGTGGACGAGGGCGGGGGTAAGGCTCCGCTCAGGGATTGTGACTAGAGTGATCACTAGGGAACTGGAGAAGCTTCACCAGGACCTGGGAACAGAACTCAATTCCAGAAAGATTTATTGGCGCCCTCTATAGACCAGCCACCGCTTTGTATAGGTTCACAGAGATGAATTAAACGCCACAACTCCTGCTATCTCAAGCTTCCTGGCAAGGGGAGAGCTAGCCTCTGAACAGTGGAGTTATCGCCAGCCGAGTCCTATAACAGGGGCTTGGAACCGGGCTAGGGGCGGCTCACTCCAGCAAGGGAAAGTCAGGGAGGTCTTCAAGGAGGAGGTGAGCTAGACTCGAAGAGATGGGGGAGAGGGCTGTCATTCCTGGTAGAGGAAGGAGCAGACCCATGGACGGATAAGGGGAGCAGCAGAGGCCAAGCATCTCAAGGATGGGAATGTAGTACCCAGGAGTTTGGAGTTTAGCCTGGTCTTTGAGGACCTGCGGACTGGTATCTAGTGTTGCCGTGTGGAGTCAGGAAGATAGGAGCTGGCTGCTGAGAGGCCTGAACAGGGCAGATTTGGGGCTAGGACAAAGCCTGACTGCAGAAGCAGGGAAGGCCTGGGCAATGGTACTGATCCTAAGGAAGCAGGGCCTTAGGCAGAGGTCCCCAGCCTGACACATCCCTGCTCTGGAAGTCCTGTTTCTCTGGCCTTCCCACCACATTTGTTTGTCTGAGGTTGCAGCAAAAACAAGAAAGAAAACACTCAAATTGGCAGGAGATAAGCCCAGATAAGAGG